ATATATATATATATATATATATATATACATAATATAATTTTTAATTTTATATATTCTTGAAAAGCTTTTCTTTTTGGGTGTTTTTTATAAGGTGTCTCCAACATTCAATTTTTTCAGTTAATATCTGATAGGGAAAAAAATCATTAATGTCCTTGTTAGCCTATTGTGGTTTGAACCCATATACGTAGGATTGTTCGATGTACCTTCGATGTGGTAACGTTAAGCTTCCGATATATCATCGGTATAAATATCGAGATCTAAAAAAGATTTTTTTGATCAAATTTCTCCGACATCTAAGTTAGTAATCCTATGAGTGTAGACATGACTTGTCAAAAAAGGTAACTCCCCTTTTTTATTATGTTGCTAAGTTTTTATACCTGGTTGTAAATACGTAGAATATTCTATGAAATATTCTACGGGAAGATAACTTTTAATCACCTCCAATAACCTCTCATTGGCCTCTCTTGTGAGTCAAAGGTAAAGCCTCTTCGCTCGAGCTTTTATTGAGAGGGTCGGCTGATGTTCATTCCTACGACATCAAGCCCTCATTCTAGCACCAAAATGATAGGGGAAGAAGTCTTTGATGTCTTGGTCAATTCGACATGGTCCGAACTTATATACATAAGATTGTCCAAGGTGCATCCAAGATGAAAATGTCGAGCTCCCGAGATACCACCTACACAAAGATCGAGGTCAAGAGAGGTTTCGTGATTCGATTCCTTCAATACCCAAGTTAGTAACCCGAGGTATATGAGTGTTAACGTAAGTTGTCAAAAAAGGTAACTCCTCTTCTTCATTGCGTTGAATATGAGCTTTTATACCTGGTCGTAAAGAGATAGGTGAAATATTCTATAGGGAGGTAGCCTCTAACTCCCTCCAACAACCTCCACATGGGCGATAAGAGGGGAACAACCTAGAACTACCTACCTTGAACCCATGTCCACGTGGGCAAATAGATGGAGGTTGACCTTTGTCTTCTCCTTCCATCCCGAGCACCATATGAATGTCATGTATCCGATGATGATTGGTTAACGATGTTCTCCCTATCAGTATATTTTCTTCTCAAATATTCTAAATGTCTCTCCTCCTCGTCTCCTTAATTATGTGGATGTTATCGATCATTTCTCCATTTGGTCATGGTCGCTTTCACCTCGTTGCCTTGTTATGGGCACCTTCATCTAGTCTCATTGCCTCTATCGTGCCCCTCGCCCGACACCCCTTATATGTCCCCGTTGGCAACTCCATCTCTATCGAGAAAAAGACTCTTGAGAATAAGCATTATGAGACCTTCATTCATACTGTTGATGGGTCCCATGATGATATTATCGTTATGTTGATCTTTATATGGACCTACATCGAAAGGATAATATGAGAGGTCAATTAAAATCTCACGGAGGAAAAGAAGGTAATTAGGTTGAAATAAAATGTCGAAAGTGACAGAGCACGACAGAGCACTATAGTGGGGCGAAGGTGACGATCCACGTTACAAAGGTGGTGATAACAAGAGGTATATAGGATATTAAAAAAAATACCTGATGAAAAAATTGATAACCGGAGAAACTTTTTTAAAAGAATCAATAAAAAGAGATTTTTTAAAAAATAATCGTATGTTATATATGAGATTAGAAATTGTAATAACAGAATGTTATTTCCCAACGTTACGGAGGATTGACATGTAAAAACAGCTTCGTAGGGGCGCCGCCGCAACGGTCGGACGGACGGCCGTGCGACGGCCCGCCCTTCGAAACTCGAAGAACCTTTCGGAAACATCTCGAGATATATATACTGCATTAATATTCGTAATGGTAAATATATATTAATATATAAACCGCCGAAAACAGGCGCATCGGCGGGACCCGCTCGCTGTCGGCCCACCACAAGCAACGGTCAACTAAGGGGTGACGTTATGGTCTACTTGTGATGCCAACCTCATCGACAAGCAAGAAGCCCATTATTTTCATTTAAATGCCACTGTCGTTGGCTTAAATTACGGATACGCCACCGCCCAGTGTTAACCGAGGTTGAAAGCACATCACCACTCCACTACGGCGACCGAGCCGAGGACAAAACCGTGATGGCTTTTCCGTAATAAAGGTTACACGATGAGGGTGTCAGTAGAAGAATGGATCTGTAGAGATGAAGCGGCGGGGCCGCCGCCAGGACGTTTTTTCCTTTGTGGGATCGTATGTTTTCTGCGGGCGACGAGAGGACGGTGGAGAGAGAGAGAGAGAGAGAGAGAGAGATGTTGGTATATAGAAGTAGAATATCCCTTTTCTGTGGGCGAAAGAGGTCGTACAAGGTGAGTGGAGAAGCTCGAGGAAGGAAGCGAAGCGACTTGGGAGGAAGGGGTGGAGGGTATTTGGTTTGATTGCTGTGGCTGCTACTGCTGCTTCCCCGGATTCGATCGGGTGCGATCGTGCTACCGGGGGCCGGGACAGGAGTTGGATGGTGCGGATGAACGGTGGCGGCTGCGGGGGGGCGGAGTCGAAGGTGCCGGCTCTTTGGCGACTCGCTGACGAGATGAACGCGCCGGGGACCGAGTGCCGGGCGTTGGAGGCGGAATATGTTCGGAGTTTCCACCGTCACGTGCCCAACGAGAACCAGTGCAGCTCCGCCATATTCAAGCACATCAAAGCCCCTGTCCACCATGTATGATCCTCTCTCTCTCTCTCTCTCTCTCTCTCTCTCTCTCTGGACATGGTGCTTCGAGATTGATAAGATATATTCTAATGGATTTTCTCGAGGATTTTGTTTGGTATAAAATTTGATGAGCAGACCCGGAAAATCATGCAAAAAAAAGGAAAAAAAACGTTTTTTTCCCCTCTCAGAAGTTGGATTTGGTGTTGATTGAAGCTGGTTTATGAAGAAACAAGGTTTCGTGCATGCATCGTGATTTCTTCTCTCATTTGTTGGGTCTTTTAATTTGTTTGAGGTCATTTGTCTCTCTTTTTTCTTGATGAAACTTTTGCTTGTCTAAAATGGAATTTCCGGTTGGGAATCCTTCAATAAAAAGATAATCTTGGATGCTTCAGAGTAGCTAGGACGACGAGAATATACAGTGATTGGGTTCTTTGTCTATTAGATCTACTTATCTTCCTATGACTGGCATCTGATGGTTCCCAAAATGCTTCTTTTTCATGTTAAATCATAAATCTAGAGTTGGAGATGCGAATTGGGTTGTGGCATTTGTTGCGTTCACAGTGATGATGCTCTGTCTTCCTTGTTTGTTGATACGCAATAGGTGTGGTCTCTCGTTCGAAGGTTTGATCAGCCGCAGAAGTACAAGCCCTTTGTTAGCAGATGCATCGTGCAGGATGGCACTGGGGTTGGGAGCCTGAGAGAGGTAAATATCAAATCTGGACTACCTGCGACCACCAGCTTCGAAAGGCTGGAGCACCTCGACGACGATGAACGGGTTCTCAGCATCAGAATTGTCGGGGGAGACCACAGACTCAAGGTGTGTTGATCTCCTCAGATGTTCTTATTGTCTTATTTCCTTTAAAAAATACATCAGATGATCATGAATGAGCCTATTTCTTTAGCGTTATGTTCCCTGTTAATGGTTTTCTATCGATGTGTATCGAAACCATAAATTCGAACTAACCTGTTGGATATATGAACTTCTCTGTGATCGATGATGTAATATCATCACTTTGAGAACATATAATCGCGTTCCGCTATAGATAGATCTTCAAGTTCGGTAAGAAGAAGCTTGTGATTGCTGCTTCTCAAATCTATGCTTTCTTATGCTGTTCTGATGTTTATATTTTGGATGCATCAAAAAAGTTCATTTGCTTGGGTACTCTTTTTGTTCTGATCTGATTCGATTTATTGAGGTCGGATAAACTGTTCATTATTAAATTGAAATTAGAAACTGGTCTCCAGCAATAACTTTGAGGTTAACAGTCTATAAACTTTTAGATTTAGACTTTCATCACCTGTTTTAATCCAGTTCATCTGGAATGAAAATATTCCTGCTTTCGAGTACCGTCGCACATTACGGCTCACCTCGCTTTGTTCTATCCAATTACAAATTATTGGTACTGGTGTCTTTTTAAGTTTGCATAGCTGTGTAGTTTGCTTTAGAAATGTGGGGAAAATTGACAACCTTCCTATGAACAATCGACTATTCAACGATGAAATTCTTATTCTCAAGTGTTTTATTCATGTTCAGGTTCAGATTCTCGTCTATCCTAATTCAATCTATCTGTTTGATGGTATTGATAGGATCGCTAAAGTCCAGAGTCGAAGGAAACTTCAAGCAGTGGTCCTTTTTTCTTTTTGATAGAATCCGATGTATCTATTAATAATCAAAGACATTTTTTTACTGAATTGTGGCTTATCTAGTATCTCGTTTTGTACTGCAGAACTACTCATCTATCATTACCGCCCATCCTGAAACGATAGACGGTAGACCAGCAACTCTGGTAATCGAGTCGTTTGTAGTGGATGTTCCAGATGGAAACACAAAGGAAGAGACCTGCTACTTTGTGGAGGCATTGATCAAGTGCAACCTGAAATCGTTGGCTGACATATCGGAGCGCTTGGCAGTTCAGGATTACACAGAGCCGATTGACTGCTAAAAGCCATCGAGGGACATGGAGATAGCCGCAAGCGAGCGAGCTATGCTCGTTCTATGACTTGAGATCGTTCTTGGTGTCGTTTTCGCATTGAGGTAAATTGGACCATCAGCTCTATTAGAGTGTAAGAACCATAGGGCGTTGGATCATTATTTCACAGCTTTGGTGCATTTATTAAGGATCATTATTTCACACTCTCTCTGTTCCATCAGGATAAGATTTGAGACATGTTGGACTTTGGCCTCTGCAAATATGAATCTTGTGCTGTTGTTACATGACTCCATACATTTAACAATCACTCACAGGGTGTTGGATGATTATGTTGACAGGCTTTGGGCCATTGAAGTGCAAAGACGACAATCCAACACTCTTTTTATCTGTGTCTGTAGAGATAAGATGTGAGACTAGTTGGACTTTTGGCCTTACCGACAGCATGGACATGTCAATTTTGTGCAGTCTTTGACTTTTTAGACCTTGAGGAATCTATTCTGCATGACTTTTCCTTGCTTGCTTGCTTCCTTCGGACTGGAAGGTCATGATGGTCGTCTCAGTGGACGTTGACACGTTCATGCATCTTCTACCAAGTCCAAACCACATTTGTGGGGACGGAGATAAATCCATATTACTGTCTCCTTAAAGAAGGTGACCACGTACATCTCCTCTTCCAAAGGATCATTTATTTCGATACGGTGAGTAACACACAAGAAGACAAGACATTTTGCTACATTGGATGCCATGCCCCGAGTGAGTGGTTCAATGGCCTTCCCTTTGTTTCTATGTACACAGGAGGGGAGGAATCATCCTTGGTCGACTAATGTCTCACTCATCGGTCATTGTTCACACCTTTATGCATCTTAGTTAGTTGCTATGGTCGATCGCCAAAAAGACTTTGGTAAGCTTTTCCAATCTCCTATTATTGTAGAGTCTCTCATCTCGAGCTGAGCTTGAGGAAGGATGAAGGGTGAAAAATACACAGATGGACATAAGCCAAATTATTGAGTCTCTCATCTCAATTTGGCTAACTTGACACACTTCTAATCTCAACAAGTCAAACATCATTACAATCCAAAATTGAGGTGGTGGTTGGGTCCATTATCAAACAACTTAGTGGTCATTGTACCACCTCAACGGCTGAAACTACCACCCTATAGGTGGTTGGTTCGTGTCAATGACCGACTTATCGATCGTTATGCTACTTGGATGATTGAAACAACCACCTTAGAGGTGGTTAGGTCACTGATATAACTATGCCACCTCAATGGTCTTTCTAACATACATAACTATCCAAACAACTAGCACTGGGAACTCGAACTATAAATAGGAGGAACTCGAGTGACTTACGTATTGGAGGGACCGAGAGAACTTACGTTTCACATCAGCTTCTCGCATCCGCGTCGATACTTCAAACTCCCAATCTATTCCCTTGTGGGGCTTGAGCTTGAATCCATTTCCATGCCAATCAACATGAGGAGGATACAAAGGGATCCATTTTCAGGCAACACAACTATCACATTGGAGGAATGCAAATTAAATAACACATTCACCATATGTGATTCAATCTTATTTAACTTCCTGTAACTATAGCCAACTGCAGCTTCAATTGAGCAACTGAATGAAAGGAAAAATGGGTGACAAGATAGTGTGTACCAAGAATGGGAAAATTTTCTCCGGTGCCTTTTGATGGCTTCATTTTTCATTTGGTGTTCAGAGATTTTCCTCTCTTTGGAGCTTCAGCTGCATGGCCTTGTTCTGCCACCGAAAATTTTTTCACTTTCTGACATTGAAAACATCAACATATTAACATAATGTATCGAACCACGTTAGATGCAAGCTGTCCTTCCAATTGCAATGACATAACTATGTTAAAAAATGGCAACTCAAATACAAAATATATATATACTGATCATTGTATGGCCATCCAGTCCCTTGTGCCTATTAAAGTTCTTGAGGGAAACTTTTTATTGAAGCCTAGCATGTTCATGCACTGATGCAAACTCACGTCAATCATTCTATTGTTCAGTTTACAAAATTGAAAGACAATGCATCATTTGAAAATGTTGCTACCTAAGGCCGTTATGAAACAGATTCAAAATCTTGCACTACCAGTCGGTGATAGCTTATGCTTCAATTATCGGTAGGTGCATGCCAAATAACTAAAGAGAAAGCATTCTCATCCCTGAGGCAAAATCACTAGTTAACCCGGTTTAATATAGACTACAAATAATTGGAGACAACTTCTTAACATACTAGATGTCAATTAGTTTATTCACAAACACATGGTTGTATAGATTTACATGCTAGTCATCCTCTTAACAATAGAACAAGAACTAATTGAATATGTCTAATGACAGTAAAGTATGGTGTTCCTGCAAACATATAGCTGGTAAGTTCAACTTTAAACCCATTTAAAAAAGAAGACAAAGCGTTGACATATATGCAGTGATCTTGACATATCATTGACAAATGCAGAAGAAGCTTTAAGTTTGAGCAGCACATTCAAGCAGAAAGACCAGTAACGCACAAGTGAAGAAGGAAAAGAAAAGAAGAAAATAGAATGATGTATACTAAATAGAAGGCCATGACGGAAAGAAACAAACATTTATCCTGCACATATTGTACTGTCAATCATGTTTTTAGTGGCAGCTCCCTCATATACAGGTAACTGACACCAGCTCTCATCCTAGCTATGACTCCTCTACAAAAAATGTTAAGGTGTTGGTTAACTCATCCGACATTAAAAATGACACCCAGACTAACACACGAGCATAGACAAACAGAACATTGTCCAGCTGTATCATATGAATAAACTGATCTGAAACTGACACAAATAGTCCTCAGAAATTACATATAAGATGTCAAAGCTGAATCAAAGACAAGACCAATCTAACCCACTAAAATTAAGTACCAGGCTGACCACTGCTGGGGATTTCTGCTGATACAATCTGACTTCCAATCCATGCAAGTTCAAATTGTCTATCCAACATTACCACCTTCTGATGATACCAAATTTAAATTATCTTCAATTAGACTTCATCTTTATGTTACTTACAGAACCCTCTACTAAAAACCATAAAATGATCTTACCTAGCAGAAACCTAATTTAGATACATAGTTACTATGTTTTTCATTTTCTGAATTTTATGAACTAGCAAGGAGTCTGATTCTTTGGTTAACAATTTATATAATGGCCTATAAATATAAGCAAGGTTCGCAATACCGTACCGTACCGGAGTTTCGACCTGGGCTCGGTACCGGTACGGTACGGTATACCGCTCGGTACACCCAGGTGTACCGAGCGGTATATTCAGGCGTGCCGAGCACTACAGTACCGCTACAATACCGGACCGGTAACAAGCGGTCCGCGTACCGGAAGCCTGTCGGACCGGTACGTACCGCCCGTACCGGGCGGTACGGACCGGTATGGCAAACCATGAATATAAGTATCTAAAAATTGTATCAATAAGAAATGAAATCATACGATAGTTACCTATTTCTGATTGCTTTTTTTTTTTTATGATACTGCATGACAGGTAACCACATCAACAATATGTGTATTCTTGCCTTGTTTATTTTAAAAGAAAACAACCAAACATCCACTCATTTTAATGAGATGTATAAAGAATAAAAGAAAAAAGGTTTTAGGTGACATTATCAGGTTTGTTAAGGGAGAAAAACAGAAACGTTGGTGGCAAAAGGATCTTCTATGTACAAGTTAAGCTATCAATGGTTAGAGCTCCTCAACCTATTTGATGATATTATCCAACTACCAACAGAATCTGAGAACAGCTTCAATCTACATGTTCTAAATGATCATATTCTAAGAATTTTGTTGATACCCTACCACTGATGTGCCACATGTCAAGCAGCTTTTAAAGATGTATGGGCTTGATACGTAATACTAGCATTGTAACACACCAATCAAAAAGGCAGCATATGTTTTCCACAGGGCTAAATGACTCAACAAGAGCACACCCAATAGAAAATACTTTTAAGGTTCATCCAAGTAAAACAAAAAAGCTCTTAGAAAACTAAAAGTAGTAGCTAAGGCATGACCTATATTAAATCTCAAATTATAATTAACAGAGAAACACTACTACAAACAAAAGCTTCAGTCAATAACATATCCATCTTGACTCAATAGATTAACGACCATCGAAAAGTGGAGAGACAAGTAGCTCCATTAACAAGGAGCTCCAAAACATTACTGACAAGATTGAAGGCATAAAGCACAAATGCACAATGTTAGCTGACTGTCTCGACAATATTCAGTTGCATATGTTAGAAATACTTAAGTGCCTTGAAGACGAAAGAAAATAAACATTATTACGTAAAGAAGAAGCCTTTTCCTGGGTACCAGTAACATCGAAATCAATCACCACCAACGTAGCAATTGTATCATGGACCTAACAAAATTAATCTTGGTTATTTCACCAAATATTGTTATGATGGTATTATCGGAATGGTTCACGCAGGTTTGTTAAGTTCCTTCTTATTCAAAGTTTTATGATTGCAAATACTATTAACTTATTCCAGTTGGCACTCAGCTGGTAGAATCATTTTCTTCTGCACACATGATGCAGGATGACCACAAAAATTACCATGAAAAGACACACAACAAAAGATACAATAGCAATAATCATTCAACATAGTTACAAGCAACAGTGCACAAGACGCAGCTGAATAGAAACCTATTTGTCATGCCCCTCGGGTGCACCTTATCGAAATGCTTGAGCCTCAACAATTATTTTTCTTTGTTTTCTCGTAATATACAGTAGCACTATTGCGAGTACTAGTTTTAAAGGTATAAGAAGGTAACGCGATGGCCACCAATCCAACCCATCTGTTTCACTCCAAAGAAGACACTCAAGAGTTCGAATGTGCTGCACTTCATGTCCACTTCAAATTTCTCAGTTCAGCCCAACGCCGCCCACCAACTGTTCGACAAAATGAGCGTAACAAACTTCACACTACGGCATGTCGGTCACATACGCCCGCACCCAATGGGACGCAAAAAAACGAACGATCCGACTCGAAGCACACAGGAAGGCGAACGAATAAGATCATAAAATTACCATTTCGAGGACGCAGCTCCTAGGGGCGTCCAGGAAGCGGAGGCACCTGTCGCGGTCGAAGGGGGTGTCGACGGCGCAGTTAAGCAGATCGAGCGCTTCCATAGCGCAAACCGGCTGAGGCGTCGCCGCTTCCATCGTCCGCTCACGAGTCGTACGCCGATTTCGCTTCTGGTGATGGGAGAAATCGACCGGGGCTGCAAGAAACGGTCTGCAGAAGAGCGAGCGGAAGGCTTCGGAGATGTTTCGTCCGACGAAGGAGAGCACCTCGTAACCACATCTTTTGCGAGCGTCCCGGTCAATCTCGTACGAGTTGGTCTGGTCAAACCCGGTTCGGTTCGTCAGCTATCGAACCATATTTATATCCATAATTATATTGGGTTTAGTAGATTATTCCGAAACAGTTAATTATTGGGAGCTAAAGTACTCGGCCATTAAAGGCCCAAAACAGACCCTGTTTGTTTGTATGATCCCTTTATTTAGGGCTCATTTTAGATTTATTTTTATTCTTTTTGCATTGATTGCTTCATTTTGATTAGGTTAATTGCTTCGATATAATTTTTTTCACTATATTACTATTAGTCTTTTACTTTTTCTTTTTTCATGTATTTATTCAAAAAATAGAAGATGAGTAATAAAATTCGAGGAAAGAACACGTGGAAAACGAGAGAAGCCTTCCCCCAAATCAAATTAAATTAGATTAGGAACCATTAATTATATCATTTCTTGCACTCGCAAAGCAGCCACAGTACCAGCCTTCAATCGGAAAACCCACGATATTACCACAACCAACCCAAACACCCTTCCCTCCCTCTCTGTTACGTTATCTTCTTCTTAGGAGCTCCTCAGTGGATAGGGATACGGAAAGTAGCAGAGGAGGTCTGCTTCCCGAAACCAGAGGTTCTCTGTGCTGCTATAGACTAGCTTGTAGTAACCGCGACGTGCTCTCTCAGGCTCAGCCCACTGCCGCCTCCGCCCAGTCTCGGTTCTCTTTTGTTCTTCTCGAGGTAAGCATCCTAACCATTCTTCACTCTCTCTCTCTCTCTCGCCCCCCTTTCCATTGTACTTCCTCTTCCTTTCATCTCTCTCGGTGCTGTAATTTCTTGTGGTTTGGGGATTCTGGGTTGGTTCTCGATGCTACAAATCCGTAGAGCTTTGTTGCTTTAGCCTATCTTTGTTGATATATAACAGAGGAATTCTGCTCTTCTGCTCAAATGGGGCATCTTTGGCCTATCTAAAGCAGAGGAGCAGAGTGGTAGTCCTCTCGTGTTTCCATTGCATTCATTGGGTCTCTTGGATTGATGGTTGCAGGGAGGAAGAAGAGAATAGAATAGGAGAGGATTGAGCTTACATGCACTGTGTGGAGCCATGGAGGGTACGTTGTCGAAGGGTTGTATGAAGCGGACGGAGCACGTCGACGTGACGCCGAAGCCCCTCCCGCCGCGTTCGCAGGAGCGCACCGTCAGGATCTTCTGCGACGACTACGATGCCACTGACTCCTCCGGCGACGAGGTCGACCGCCGCGGTGCCGTCCGCCGCTACGTCCAGGAGATCCGCTTCGAACCCCGTCCCGCGGGCGGCAGAAAGGGCAAGCCAGCTAGGAAGAGGAAGAAAGTGGACGCCTCCGGTGTCTCCGCCTGTGGCAAGGCCGGTCCCGTGTTCCGCGGCGTCCGGCGACGGCCCTCGGGCAAGTACGCGGCGGAGATCCGCGACCCGTGGCGGCGCGTCCGGGTGTGGCTCGGGACCTACGACACCGCCGAGGAGGCCGCGATGGTCTACGACTCGGCCGCCGTCCGGCTCCGCGGCACCGACGCCACCACCAACTTCTCCGCTGCGCCGTCTTCCCTGACGCCCCATGAGAAGTGCCCCTTGGGTACCGACCTCACTTCCACGACTGGCGGATTCGATTACAGCCGGAAATCGCACAACCTCTCCTCCCTAACCTCCGTCCTCCGCGACGTCTTCTCCTCATTCGCTGACGAGAACGGTGGTTTACTCACCACCGACATCACCATACCAGACGGCGTGGTGGGCGACTTTTTGCCCTTCGAGGAGGCGATGCCGAGTCTCTTCGACGATCCGACGGAGACACTAACGGGCGGTTTGTTCGGTTCCGAGCCGTTCAAGGAAGACGATTGTTTCCAGGGCGACGGCGACTTGTTCCCGATCGAATCGCTCACAGCCGTTTGATCGGAAGATTTAATATCGACGGAAGAGAAAAATGCGGTTTTATTTTTTATTCTAATCATTTTGTAATTTGTTTGTAATTTTGAGATTATATAATAATACCTCTGTGCGTCAACTGCGGAAACGGCAACGGAAACGCGCTTTTCCTTTGCTCGATATATATATAGCATTAACTTATCATTATTTTCTTCACAAATAAAAATAAAAATGCTTTGTAATTTAGAAAACATCAACTTTTAATGTCTAGAAAATTAAGGGTTTTTTTCTCCCAATAAACGACCCAATTTATGAGGTAAAATTGCACTAACAGTAGAACATAAGTAATGTTCTTAACAACATGGGTTTCATGACATTCGTTATATACGATGGCTTGCCTCCATTAGAAGCCGCCTCCACCGAGAAAGCTCCCTCTGATGATCGCCGGCACACTGGACTCGTTGCACAGGCACGCAACCTTCCACTCTGGCACCGCCTCGTTCGCCGCCTGCTCGATCTTCCCGGGCCGGCGAGACGCCGAGCCACTCGACCCCTCCTTCGTTTCATTCTGCCCGGTGTTTCCCTTGGTACTCACCTTGGCCACCTCCTGTACTGCCACGGAAGACGTCTCCTTCGCGTTGCTCATCTTGGCGTCGTCTCTAAGTACTTTGGCTTTGCTCTCTCTCTCTCTCTCTCTCTAACTGAGAATTTGGATGATTGTTTGAGAAAAGTCGTCTTTTTTCATTAATCTGTTAATGTATATATACATATACATATATATAAAGGGTATATATAATATACATTGCATGATAAGTACGTGATCTGAGCAACTATCTAAAAATAAAATAAAAACATAATTGGAATATATTTCTTAATTTTTAATTTTTAAATTTCATATTTATGGATCGAACAAAAGCAAATCAGTTTTTGGTTAAGTTGGGTTAAAATAAGGAATTAATGTGGCTCAATTAAATGATTTATAATTTTAAATAATTTAATATATATATATATATATATATATATATATTATTTATAAATGAATCGAATCAAAATCTTAGTCCAATAGAATCGTACAATAAAATTTTATTAAATTAGGCTTATATTATTTGTGAAATTGACATTGGAATTGTGGAATTCAATACCCAAAGAAATTTTGTAAAATCGGCTCTATTTTATTTAACTGAATCGAAGAATATTATCCTTAAAATTAAATTATTTATAATTGGGTCAAACAAATTCTAGATTGTTTCGATTCGATCCGATTTGAATATTCCTAGATTGGATATATGACAAAGGAGATTGATTATGTTTAAATGGAAGTTCATAAACACATTTAAGCAACGCATTGATACATGACAAAGGAGATGGAGTATGATAAAGAAAAATACATCATTTAAGCAACCATTTAAAAATCAAATAAATTTATAGTTGATGATTGCATTACTTGTTTGTGTGATGATCACCTTCCAATCTTACTGGATACATGACCAAAACATTGATTGCATGAGCTTTCCCTGTGTTTGTCATGTTATTAAAGTGTTTTGTTCCATGATTTCTTGATTACTTACTAATAACACATCCTAAAATGTGTGGAAGACACATTCGGACAAGAGTTTGGTGAATACGTAACAACATACGTATACCATATCGTAAAATGGCACAACATCGTACGACGACATGGATTTCTACGTGACTTTGACATACGACACACCTTATGCGACGCTGGAAGAGAAGATGAGAATACATGGCATAACATACGACGACGCTGGAGCATACAACAGCACCGTCTCCGAGCTCGCTTAACACATACGCCTTTTGTTTGGCACCATCAGAAGCAGCCTCCGATGAGCAAGCTGCCTCTTATGATCACCGGCACGCCGTACTCGGAGCAGAGGCACTTAACCTTCCACTCCGGCACCGTCTCGTTCCTCGCCCGCTCCATCCTCGGCAGGCGGCGAGACGCAGAGCCGCTCGACCCATCCTCCGCCTTCCGGTGCTGCATCTGCTTCACCTTCACCGCCTCCTGTGGCACAGAGGAAGACATCTCCCAGCTCCCAGCTCCCAGCTCCCAGCGGAGTGTATAGGATGGCTTCACTTTCCTCTCGCTCTCACACACTATCTATCTATCTCTCTTACCTATCTATGCCTGCAACTACAGATATAGAACGAGGAGGGGTTGGAGGAGATAATAAGCTCAGAAACAAGGCGTCACTGTAGAAAAGATTAATGTAATAGGGACAAAAGGCATCTCAGCTTGTGGCACGAAGCACCAACGCCGACACGGTTGGGTAAGGCGAGGAGATACCTTTGTACAACGTGCACATAAAGCGAATGCCACGTCGCTATTCGTACCCACAGCAGCGTGAAGCACACAAGCAACATCTCTTTTACTCGCCACCACCCACCGAAATATTCCTCTTAAAAGTCGTTGATTCATCAGCAAATCTTGTGATGAGGATAAAAAACACATCACCTTTGATTCATCCGCAAATCTTGTGATGAGGATAAAAACATATCACCTGGTCTAGTATTTAACATCAGCAAGTAAAACACTTATCATAATTACATTATTAGGGTTTAGAGATTATGACAAGTAGAAGCAGAAACAAACAAGCAGCACGTCATTGTGATTCATTATTTATTTATGTTTGGATGGGCATGCTTGTAAGCTTCCTATTATTGTGCTTCTAAGCATCATCTTGCAGTGATATTGATGTCTTCCCAGCTGACTCATCGATGAAAAGAGCTGACGTAAAATGAAAATAAAATTAAAAATACTATTAGAAAGAAAACTAACCTTACAAAGAAAAAAAGACTGTGAGATATTAACTCCTTTTAATAAAATATAAAAGAGGATGAAAAGGATCAACTCTCAAGATCTTTACAATACTTAAATTGTATAAACCTAGAGGAGACGTTTATTTATATTAGTTTAGATCTTGAAAATTAATTAACTAGCAATGTAGAATAATAATTAAAAAAACATAAAAATAATAAATAATAAGTGAACAATTTTAAGCTTCTTGAAAATAATCTTTCCTTAATGTCCTTGAATGGATCTTTGTACCTAGTAGATCGTATTGAGAACTCTGCAACCATATATTATACTCCTCAAATACTTATATAATTTGAAAGATTTGAGGTTTCAAAGTAGGGTCCTTGATTAAATTTATTTAGCTTTTTTTCTTAGGATTGACTTGATCGATTGTTTTATAAAAGTCTTCTTCTTCTTCTTCTTCTTCTTCTTCTTCTTCTTCTAAGTTAAAGAGTATAGGCAAACATGTGTTAGCATTTCACAAATGTACATGTCTTCCCACATCAACTTCTAATGTCAAGTAAACAACGTACAGTAGTAGTAGGCTTTGCAAATGAATTGGTAATTGTTAAAATACATAAGTGGATCTAATTAAGCAGAAGATTCAAATGCCTCCCACAAAGATTCAGGCAAACTAAGTCCAATGCTCAACAAGAGAAACCTAGATTTTTCGATAACCAGTAATCACAACATGACCATTGGGCATCTTGACAAGTTATCCACTAGTTTCATCGAATGTGCTCATAAAGCCACCTAAAAAGCCAGCACCATTGCAGTTCCCACATAGGATCTCCTTCTTACCTCTGCTAAGGTAACCAGAATAAGCACCAGCAACTCATAAACTTCGCTACTATATGCAACTCACTTGTCAGAAAAATTAGACACAAGAGATTTATTTCTCTTCGGTTTTAGGCTATCGAACACCTGAAAATTTACTAACTTTACGACCTTAAGGTGTAGCAAACAATAGAAAAAATATAGGAATAAACAGAGCAGGATAATCTTAGACATGGAAATGAAATCTGGACATGAAACTTCTCATTGAAGTCTGAGGCACCCAAGATTCAGCCTACAACTATGAAAAGGTAAAGCTAGATTCTAGCAAGGCAAATTTAGTGCAAGCATAGTCCTGAGAATGCTAAACTTATGATTCAGTCATAAGCTAGTTCAACTCATGTCATGGCAAAGACTGACACACATCTCTTATTAATTAAGGATAGGTATTATGGCTGTATGCAAAAAGAGGTAATCCAGATTGGAGGTGATGCCAAAAATGATATTCTGCAGAAATGCTATCACCGCATCTGGTATGATTTTCAATCACCAAAAAGGGTAGAGAGTTTTGAACTGTTTCTTAAGTTGCCTTACTGTTTTAAAATGATCTCCGTATGCAGCTTGCCTCAAGATCTGCACACGATATGATTAGGTTATAAATTCTCTCTTCCAAAATGATCATTACCAAATAGTAAAATTTCTTCTGTTGTCAAACACCAAACTTAGTCAATATTATGATCCATTGATCTTTTTTTATCTGTTTCATCTGCTAAATTCACAAGTTTACTATACAACTCGCAAGCACCATTCATTCTAATCATGCAAGTAATTCAAGGTCTAAAGTTCTAAAATATTCTCTTTTCATCAACGCTCCTGCAATTATCCACAAGTGCAAAGAGAAAGCTGCTCATATGCTAGAAGTAGATATATTTAATCAACTACTAACCTGCAAAGCCAACACGATGCTCCAGCTTTAAATCGACCATTGAAGTGATCAACAGAGTTCACACCGGTGCCTTGGCATTGCGTGCATAGTTTTGCACCTGTTGGTCCAAAAGAAAAAGGTATAAGAAGTTAGCATCCGAATATACCAGTGGTGAACCAAATAATACTAAAACCGGTATTAACAGATGCCTTTAGCGAGGGAAAATAAAAATAACTATGCTGGTCTTGGTTCAGTGCAAAAATGTAAATAGACAACAAAACTCAGCATCCTAGCCGTAGTCCTCCTAATATAATGGAATACAAGCAAAACCTCCCCACAATTTATATTTGAGGCCATAACTTGTAACTACACCGATCACATGTTTGTTGGATATGCTGCATTCTTGGTGCAAAACAGATAAACAGATATTATGCATCCTTGCCACAAAAAACAAAGAAAAGAACAAAAAACAAAAGAGACTAATAAAGAAATAATGTATATAGCATCTGTAATCTCAATGGCATAAAAGTTACAATATCTCTGCCATCTTAGTTATCCCTGCACCTAAGTTAGACATTATTTAACAAAAAACCAGGAGAAAGATCAAGTAGATGCAGATCCACTTGCTCATACATTTGCATGGATTTTGGAATATTCACTGGTGCAAAGGCATGACTTCACATGGCTAATGTACAGATGCACCTTTGGCTTTCAAGAGGGAAATAATCAGAATAACATGTCCACCAAGAGCATTCAGATGACTCGAGAGATATATATGAGTTGAATTTAATCCAAGCTCAGTTAGCATATCTTATCTAACACAAAGTTCAGATTTGATGTTGTATAAAGCCGATTATGTCAGAATATGTTAAGACTTGTCAGTCTGGTATAAATAAAAAGGTAAAAGCGAAGAGCAAGACATATATAACTTGGTTCATAGCTTACTAGCTTAAGCTTAAGTCTTTCATTTATTGTGTTGTCCATTTATTGGACTCCCAACAAGACTATTTCCCCAAAAAAATTAATCAAGAAATGAGATCTAACAAGGTATTTAAGTTGTAATGGCAAATATTCCCCACGCACATCATCATAGGTCGCGGATAAAATTTGTCAGTACTACTAGGACCTCTCTTATAGAAATCCGGTTGTCCCCTTGTTCATATTTGGACAACTTGGGCACAGTATCTGGAGCTAATTGGACTACTGTTCTACAACCACACACCAAAATAATAAATTAATAATAGTCATAATCATAATCATAATCATAATCATAATCATAATCAATAGAAGCAAGTTGTATCTTCTAAATAAGTTAGCTATACTCAAACGGATACAACTAGTGTTAGTACTAGCCATACTTCAAATGCTCACATGCTCTGCATCAGAACAATTAATGAAGCAACAGGAAGTAGTAAAAAAACGTTTTTAAGGAGAAATCATACATCCAATATCAAAGCAAATTAGATTAATCATGGGGTGATCACTCACCATTCCCATCACACTCAGCGCAGACGATGCTGTTTCGTTTCGTGCCACTATTAGTACTGCTTTCAGTAGCCTGCTAAGGAAAAAGACCAACAATTACACATATCGAAGCAATTCTGAGATTAAGCGAAAGAAGCTCAATTGGAATCGAGGGATCCATCAGATGGGCGCTCACCTTAACCCTGAGGGGCTGGAACCTCGAGACCGCACCATGGTGAGTGGGGTTTGGGAAGGGGAGATTGGACTTGGGAGATAGACCAGAAGTGGAGCTAGAAGCCTTGGACGGAGAGGTGATGGAGTTGACGGCGGAGGTGAAGCACACGATGCTCGCCATGCGAACGGAGGAGGAACGAGGAGAGGATAAGGATTTGGTGGTCGGCACCGATTAGGGGTTTGGCGCAGGGAAGGATGAGGCTGGTGGCAAGGTGACGTGTAACCCACTGCTTCGTTACACCTTGACTCACCTTGCTTGTGATTGAATTTTATGGAAGCGAAAGTGGGCCCTAAGTCATCCTTAGGCAGGTACGAGATTCGGGTACCAAATAATGAGGTGGACGAAAAGATTGCATTTGGGGCAGTAGTGGCCTCCTCGTTACCTTGGTTTTGATTGAAGAATTTGGTGGGCCCCAGAGTACATAAGGCAGGTAACCGAACGGGTAACGAAAAATAAGGTGGAAGAAAACTATTGCATTTGGATCACCACTGCGGTTGTTGGGTTGGGTTGGGTTGGGTTTTCTTGAATTGGGCTTTTAGGCCTGAGAGTATGTGATCAAAAATATTTAAGCTTAATTTAGTGGAATTATACCTATTTAGCCATATAAATCTATATACCGATTTAGTCATAGAAAGCCCACAAGTGGGCTTTTAGGAGGGAGAGAGGAAGGAGAAATCCACTACAGTCCCAGCAAGAGTGAAGGTGGATTGAGTTTTCCCCTTCAGCTACCAACACTAAACACTATCTTTGGACTGCCTTGCCAAAGCTGCAGAAAAGAAGAAGACACTTCTCCTCTAGTAGATGGTGATGGGATGGACTGGTTATGTAAACCGTGGGACCTGTCAGCTCAAATGGCATGGCAATGAAGCACCATAACAAGCCCAACAAAGAAGCAGAAAAGCTCTGTGAGTGCTCTAGTGGCAGCTCCATTGCAGCTTGCTGAGCTCAGGGGTTCCAGGAAGACACCACCCCTTGAGTGATGAGCTTATCCTCATGTAGAGTTTTCCAAAAGTTTAGGGGTCACCATATAATAGTTGTACGAAGCATATCTGGGCAATAAGATTCGTCCTGCACGATCTGTCATCCACCCATTCACCCAGATTCCGGAGAGGATCGACATGGGCGCAAAGCTTCTGGCATCCTGGCTGGCCAAAATGTAGCTCCCCATGGGTAAAGATTCCATCATGAGACCTCTCATGAGTGTGGTGGATGGGCTACAGGTTGGGAGCGGCACTGACAATGGGCGAGGAGTAGGAAGATGAAATGAAGATGTTGTGGGGGATGGGGTCAGTCAGGTGGGCAGGGACGAGCTTGCTGCAGCAAGAGACTACAGGCAGTGGCAACATATGGGTGCATGTCTGAGGTAAGTGTTGATGTTGGAACGCAATGAGCCTCCACCTTCCATTTGAGTTGTCCATGGCCGGTGGTCCTGCTGACATTCATCATTTCTGCAGACCCCTCTCTGAGGTTGTATTGCTCACTCAACCTGAAGAAAGGCCACCTCCTTAAATTCCGTTCCGCACACAAACCAATGGCTGCAGAATATATATATATATATATATATATACATATATATGGGGACCTCCCGAGGGCATTTTGTCTGATAGATGGCAAGATGAGCATGAAGGCTTTTGGATATTCCAGATTCTCTTCTTCTGTCCTCAAACTCATCATCTCAGTCGAGAACTCTTCAGCTCTTTATATATACCCTCAACCTTTTCGAGCTGGATTCAAACCGTAGATACGTTATGCGGATGCTTCAACTCTCCTCACATTTCTACTTCGAACCACAGTTCATTAATATCAAATCTATCCATACACTATACGTTTTTTTATCTTCTTGTCTTTTTCAAGTATGCCATAAAACCCTTATCTAACTTCACGCCTAGGAAGATATCCTTGACGAGTGAGTGAGTGAGTGCAACTCATTAGGAAGATGCGACCCACGGGGGAGATTCTATATTCCTGCTAGATTCCCTGGTTATCATTTTAGGTGGTGAATGAGAAGCGGCCAAAACTGTTGATGATGGCAGTGAATTAAGTACCTTTCATGCCAGTGAATCACCTCTTAGGCGGCAGTAGACACTGCCTCGTTGCATGCCCTTCTTTACGATGGCAGTGGATCATCTTTCCCTCCTCTCTCGATCTCGCACTGTTGATGAGAGAGACAACAGACTGACGACGCTGTCCCTGTTTCTTTCTTGCCGCAGTAGTAGCATGAAGTGGCAGAGAGAAAGAGGGAGAGCGAGAGAGAGAGAGAACGCAGTGAAAAACAGATGCGTGATCTATCGGTTTCCGTGGGCAGGCAATGCAACAACACTGTGGAAGAGGGTATGATGAAAGTGACGAGCAGACGCTCACATATCCTTGGCTTAATGCAGTAACACGTGTGCAGTCTCGGAATTACCCAAGCCATGTCATTGCATGGAAGTGGGGCGGCCTCTTACGTAGGTTGAGGTTATTTTCTCCCTGTAACAGTGAGACTAACGTTGGTAATGGCGAACAACGAGGCTGGCCAGTAAAAGCAATCGAGTAGCTCAGTGCCACTTGTTCGCCCTGCATGTGTCAGGGGCCCCATTCACCACTCACTCCTCCCAAACACCAAAAGCTGTAGCCACCGCATGCACTCTCTAGAACAGCAGAACTGGAGGAGACTGCCACTTTTTGGTAGCTTGCACAACCCCAACATGGGACTTTGATCCCTTTCCTATGCTAATCTCTGCTCTTATCTTCTTCTTCTTCTTCTTCTTCTGTAATGCTGATCAGATACTGAAGAAGAAGAAGAGAAGCAGCTAGCTGGGTGATGCAAATAGATTCGGTTCCAACTTGTTTAAGCTGGCATGACAGCCGTGAGATCACTTGGATTGTGTTGCTGGAAGTACAAAAAGCGAGGTGGATCGAGGAGACGGGACCGATTCCGAATCCGGCGGTGACAGAGGGATCCCACCCATTTGTGGGGGGCGTCGATGGAGCTCTTTCGGGAGCCACAGCCCTGTGGTTTCCCTGTTCATTTGTAGGTATATCACTGTACTCGGGACCGCCACTTTCCTTCTTCCCTCAATCATTTTTGCCTCCGCTTCTCACATGGTATCGACTCCCTTAGTGGATCGATGTAGCTGGTCAAGTTACGTCTCTCACTTTTATTCCTATTTCTTCCTCCCTCCCTCTCAGTACTTAAAGGTGGAAACAAAGATGATGATAGTGATCGTCATCATCTGCAACTCGGTGCGAGACCAACCGTAGCCGTCTCGAGGTAAGGCATGAGTCTCCATGAGCGAGTTCCTTTGACCTCCGCTTGTGCGGTCGGTCGACGATGTCGGGCGTTGCTTGCTTCGGCCTTAACAATCACCAAGCAGTCAAAGGGGTTCGAAAGGTACGGGAGCAGGCAACTAGCTGGAAAGTTTCATGGAAGAGTTCGTATGTGCAGGATATGGACAAACAGAGTATTACGTCTGTAATCTTATCTACAGTTCGTCGAATGGTGGAGGGGGCATTGAGATCCTTTTCCCAACCTCATGAAGCAGTAGTGGTGGTCCTCGAGATAGGAACCTCTCCGGTCAATATGATTTCTTTTTTGGGGTTGGGGGGGGGGCGGAGGGGTTCATAATAAGCACGAGTCGCATCTGCCACAATGTGATAAGAGCCTTGCCCAAACCCTAGATTGCAAGAAGGAGAAGAAGAGAGATTCGAATTCTCCTCTCTGTTACTGGTACTCCCATTTCCTTTTAAGAACGATATCAACTCAAAGTCGAAAAATGACAATATATATGTCTGTACAAGATTACTAGTGAAAGCATAGCTCTCCTCATCTTTACCACACAGCTTCTCCATCAATCCAAACGCAACTCAAACCAATCGATGGTGGACAACCCTAAACCTACTGTTACGTCATGCTTATCGTGTTCATGGACATGCGAAAATCATTATCTTCTTCAGCTCAGCTTTCCAGCATTGTTCGATATCTTGAGCGATCCTTCTTGCGTCCAGCGACGCACCAAGCAAGCCTCGTTTCGTGAATCCAACGGCGTATAGCCCTCTCTCCCCTTTCCAGCCGTCGGGGAAGGGTCTTCTCGGCAGTCCATCATTCTCTGAGAACAACTCCTTCTCCTGCCAAACGAATACCATGTCATCTTGTGCTCTTAATGCTTCGGACGGAAGATCTCATGCTCTCTTTTCCCCAACAAAATGCATGTTATACCTTGAGCCAAAGCGGTACATTGCTCTTGTAGCCGGTCGCTAAGATTACGGCATCGAATCGATCTGCTCCACCGTCCACAAACTCTGCTCCATGTTCTAAGAGCTTCTTTACACCCGGTCGCACCTGCATTGCGTGTAGACCATCAAACAACTGGGAGGAGAAATCAAATGATGCGGTGGTTCTCTTTTGATAGATAACGAACCTTGATGTCTCCAGATTTGATCCTTGCGAGTGTTCCGACATCGAGGACTGGGGTCTTGCCGGAGAGTGACTTGAGCTCAAGGGGCCCGACCTGGGGCCGCGGTAGCCCAAACCTGGCCGTGTCACCCAACATGAGGCGGGCAAGGAGCAGCAGTAATCGATCCACCATCCGCACCGGGAGCCACTTCAGAAGCCACATGGACAGCCCGAAAGTGGAGCGGCCGAGCATCTCCCGGGGCAGGATGTGCACCTGCACAAGATAGAATAACCCCCAAAAGAGATCAAAAAGAGGTGGAGGATTGAGATGGAATGAGTTGGGCATGAATTGTCCATAGCGTTAGCTGCATGCATCTTTTTCGGCCACACACACGACCTGGGTGCACACTCTGCATCCTTGCCATGGCGATGCATGCCGAGCAAGTTCCATTGTTTTCTCTTGGCAGTAAGTACATGGTCAACTGGGACCCTTGGATTTGTTTGTTCATTTGGTCCAAGACACTCAGCAATTTGGGCAGCCAAAGCAGTGGAGGTGGACATTAAAGGAAGTGGGAGTGAACTCCGCGTGGGGAGTGAGAAAAGACAGACAGACAAACCTGCGTGTAGAATCCATCTTTCTTCGCATGCCAAAGAATAGCTTTCTAAAACTACTAATTTAACGTGCTGATTTGTGTTTGTCCTGTGAAGTCCAATCACAAGCGCAAGTGCAACACGTTCGCTTGTCGTTTTACTCTGTTGTCGATATGTGATAATGGCAATAGCGATCACTTCGATGGCAGAGTCAAAAGGATAAAGGAAAGATAACGTGGTAATTAAATGACTAACAATAAATCAAATCTATGCTCTTCTGTGATGATAGATAGCTAGCGGACCTTAGAAGTGCAATGAGAAGCTGGGATTTTTGGAGGTGGGAATTCTTGGACACAAAGATGCATGTAACAGTGAGATCGAGTCTACGCTATGAAGGCAGTAAATAACTCACGGAGTCTCTGACGACGATGGAAGGATGGGCAGTGTTGTTGCAGAGGTCCAAGCAGACCTCCATCCCCGAGTTGCCGCACCCCACCACGAGCACCCTCTTGTCGCGGAACGCGTCGCCGCTCTTGTACAGGCTCGTGTGCAGGATGGGCCCTTTGAAGTCCTCGGCCCCGTCGAAATCCGGCCAGACCGCCTCCGCGTTCTCCCCTGTGGCCACCACTAACCACCGACACAGGTACTCCCGCTTGTCCTCCTTGCCGCCCATCGCCACCGCCTTCACTCTCCAGAAGCCGAGGGCCCCGTCGTACTCTGCGCTGGTGACGGTCTCACTGAAGCGAGGCCGGATGTCGAACTCTCGCGCGTAGGCCTCGAGGTACGCCACGAACTGCTGCTTCGTGGGGTACGTCGGGAACGAGGAGGGAAACGGCATCAGGGGGAGCTCGCAGAAGTGCTTCGGGAGGTGGAGGTGAAGGCGGTCGTACGTCTTGAGCTGCCAGAGCGAGGCGATGCAGTTGGACCGCTCGAGGACGACGCTGGGGATTCCTTTCGCCTTGAGGCAAGCGGCGACAGCCAACCCCGACGGCCCGCCGCCGATGACGATCGACCCCGGGATCCAAACGCACTTCTCAGCCTTTGCGGCGATCACCAGAGACTTCATCAATACGTCGCAACTGTTCCCCGAGCTGTCCTTGCGGTGATCGTAGAAGAACGGATCATGAACTCGTTTGCATTCAGCTTCTCGCCACCAATCCATGAAGCAAAAAAGGTTTGAAGCTGCCGCAGAGCTTGCTAATATTGATCTGGAGAAGAGTAGGCTCGGTAATACTAGTGGTGAGCACAGGAAGCAAGAAAGATCCTTTTCATAAGGATTCTAATGTTCCCGGACTAAGAAGAAGTAGGATAGAGATGAGAGAGAGGAGATGTAGAAAACATCGGATCTTGCTTTCTTTTCTCCTCGTATGTACCGCTGGTGCTTAGCAAATCTTGGAGAAGGATTCTTTCTTTCGCTCGTCCAAAAAGGGACTTCTCCTGATGCTACAGGAAACCCTAATCCATGTGCCCTCCACAAGCTCCGGGGAAGGAGATGGAGAAGCTGGGAAGAGAGAGAGAGAGAGAGAGGTGGAACAAAGTGAAGAGTGAGTAGTATTTATATAAGCATTTGGCCAAGTGTTGGAAGACTTTGCTCGCAAAGGGGACATTTGGAGGTGTGGCATCTCCAACTGCTCATTATCACTATCATCATTGGATTTAGATGTGATGCACACAACTTACCACATGAGAGCATCTGTTGCTTTTGGGGATGGAATTTTTCTTTATGTGGGTTTTACTAACTTATCTACATCATCATCATCATCTTGATTCTTTGTTGTCGAAGATCTAAGATTTATTTACGAGGATCTAATAAATTTATTATTATTAATTTTAATTTAATTATTTTGATCAATGATTTTGATTTAGGATCTTAATAAACGATATGATATAGTATTAAGACATGATAGAAGACTCAAATAGAAAAAGACTATATAAAAGACTTATACATTGAGGGTTATAGCTCATATACATCGTACTAAGGTTTTATCTAGACAGTACTGTACTTGAATAGTGGAGATTTTAATACCTCCAACTAATCTTAATTTATAACACGATTTGATAGATATGTTATTGTTCACTTCAGCTTAAGTATTTTGATAAATGATGATGTTGATTCAATGAAGTTGATAAATCAATTAACCGTTATATTAAGGTTACAGAGACTCATCTCCTAGTGTATAGAGAAATAATTTTAACGTTATATTAAGGCTCATCCTCGGAACAAATACCAAATACCATTACCATAGATCACAATTACTAGAACAATTTTATTTTAATGAGTAACTAACAGCACTATCTTAGTGTTGCTTGGAGTGGCCTACAAAGCTCACTTAAGTTTCTAAGAAGGAAATTAAATCTATTGTGATGTTAGTAGATCAAGCACAAAGTTTGTAGATTCGAAGTGATGGAACAATTTCCAGACAGGATCAGACAATGAGCTGCAGGCCTTTTCCTCCCCCCATTGTCGTCTAAAGCTTGCAATCCGTACTCCTCAAAGAAAACAAAACATTTGCATCAATAAGATGGCTCCAAATCTAAAGTGAGAAGAATCAAAGCAAAGTGTGGGCCAACTTAATAAGGAGACAAGTATATAAATAAGACAGCACTATAGCATCAAAATCTCAAGATCGTAGTGGGAATTATGGTGTATGATGATGCCAAGCTTCCCAACTACGTATAGAAAAACATATCACATCACACTTGAAAAGTACTTCCATCTTTGTTATGCTTTTCTTTGGGCCTCTTCCATTAGTGATGTGAGATTATTGATGTTATTATTATGCTTTTGCTTGTCCCTCTTCACCACAATGTTATTATTATGTTTTCGGTTTTTCTTTTATGGAAGAGATGAACCTCCTCCCTCAAACTACGTTTTTGAGGTTGACCTAGGAACAACGTTGTAGTCAACATTTTATTTTATTTTATTTTATTTTTCTTTAAGAAAGAAAAAAAAAATATAACTTTATTAGACAAGAGTTTAAGTGATGAAAATTGAAAAAAATATGGATAACGAGATGTTGAGATAAATATATGACGTTGGAGGAAAGATATCAAAAAGAAATATTTTTATTTACGAATAATTAGGTGTAGTTTTAATAAAAAATAAAACGAGGAAGGATTATTTAAAATAGTATAATTATATAATAAGAAAACTATGATACCAGGAAAGGTAGTGAGAACTAGAAATTATAACTAAATATTTAAATTAATTTAACTAAGATTGTTATCATATACTTATCTCAATTGCAGAAAAAAAATATATATGCACATAGTCAAACTTCTATGATCCTATGGCTTATTATTGTTGTAAGGAATAATCACAAAATATAAAATATTTGATTGGTTTAGCTATTAATAAGGTTTGGAATAACATTGCTAGTTACATGTGTCGTAAAAGTCAATCATGTGAATGATGATACGTGTGATACGTTGCATAATATTTTTTATTAATATTTATTTTTATATTTTTTATTTTATATTGGATAATAAATATATATTGTGAAGTCTTTGGATCTAGGCAATAAGAATTAGATCATGATAATATCATAATAATGATGAGATCAATTCACCTTCAAACACATATCGCTAAATATTATTGATCATAGGTTACTCAAGAGGGACATCGAGATAACTGAACAGATCGGTGTGCTATATACTCGTACATATGATGAAATCAGTTGATCTCATAGCTACTTATGTTGGGATACTTGGGATATAGTACAGGTGCTCATTAGAGAATCATTCAACTGAATAATCCGCTTATAGAATGTTAAATAGTTAATGATACCTCATTGTCAGATAATAATTTCGTAATCCTAGTTATGTATCTAATCCTTAGACTTAAGATATAAAAGGTGTCTTGTTTGAGTAATTCATTCTTTGATACTGAATTTATAGGACTAGAAGTTTCAAATCTAATATAGACGGTCATTATGAATAGTATGCAACCTTACAAAGGTAATTGAGTATCAATAAAGGATCTTCCATTGTCGGTATCATAAGAGGAATATCCCGTATGCTCTCACTTTAGCAAATCTTTGACTAGGGTCAATCGGATCATAATGAATCCGATTAGCGTAAGAATCAAATTGAGAGAGAAGTTCTCTGGGAGAATATATATATATATATATATATATATATATATATAGTGGACAACGCGACAAATAGAGAATTGGATATGAGATATCCAATAAGTCATTATTTTTTTATATTCATTAGGTGAGACCCAAAAGGGATTAGAGTGATTATTGGATGATGATTCAATATCCATTAAGTCAAGATAATTAGATGAAGATCCAATATTCGTTAAGGTAGGATCCATTAGAGTAAGTAAAGAGGGCTCTCTATATATAGAAGTTAGGGCTTAAAGAGATTATAAGCTAGACCCATTTAGTCACAACCTCTTTCATCTCCTCCTTGCCTCTTCCTCTAGTTGACTGTTCTCTCTTAGTGCGAGAGGATAGTCAGAGGGATCGATTCTTCCTTAGTTATTGTAGTATAGTGGTGCATGAACATGAGGAAAGAATGTGCTATGAGAGGAGGTGCATCACCGCTGCATTTGCTACGCAGATCATTACTAGAGAGAAGTGCAAAAGCTCATTTATCTACAGATTGGGATCTACATATTTGGGGATATAAATCTCCTCTATATGAGAATGTCTCAACCATTTTATGCAATTATATGATTTTGTCAATTTTGAGTTTTACGCTCCTCATCTTCATAATATTATTTTTAAAAATTAATTTTTATTTTTATTTTTTATTACCTATGTGATGCTCTTTACGATTTCCCAACAAACATAGCTTCAACAAGGAAGACTAGATTCACAATTTAGCTAACTTCTATAAATTAAGTTAGGATAATTTTAAAAGTATCTATTTTTCTTAGTATTTATCTCTTCAGTTAATTATAGATATGGAAGATCAACACCATCGACCTCAATGTGCTAAAGAGAGAAATTAATATTTTTCGCCATCATTGCCAATACATTTGGTATAAACAACATAGACAATGTAAATAGTACCAGTGCAAAAATAAATAAATAAATAAATAACATAAAACTGTTGATCTTGATGTAGGCATCATAAAATATGGTATAACTTGGAAAAAACTTGATGTCACACCATGCACCAAGTCAAGCATTGCATTTCTACTTTTCATAAGCACTTGATGAGTAGAAGGTATGGAAAAGACTGATCTTCTCATTTTTAAGATTCCATATGCATTATATCTTATTAAATGCTGTGATTTCCAATCCAAGTACTTACCTATTGATTGGATTTTGACTGGTAGGTTGTCATACTTCACAATAACAACTCCTTTTCATGGAAAACTATACCCCTTTTTACAATTTTGGACTCCAATCAAACTTTAGAAGGTTCTAAACAATATAATATTTCTCAATTGGTACCTAAAGAAATTTAGGTTATAAAAGAAAAAAGGAAAGGAAAGAATGTAATTATCAACTCATGACAAAACATTTTTTTTTTTTTTCTGAAAGCCACTTCAACTCAATCTTAATGGAGCATAATTTACTGTTATTATAAGGCGAAAATATTTCATAGGAATCAGCTTAAGCATTTCGATGATCCAAAGTCACTCCTACAGTACCAGTTTCGTTGGATGATTCTAACACACAAGCATTTGGCCTTTGTGTTAGGAACAAGCGAGGAAAACTCAAATTTGAATCTCTTCGTTTTCTCTCTCTTTCCTTTGTTTTTTTACGATTTCACTTGTTTCAATCTTTTATATAAAAATAATTATTTTTGAGATATTAATATCATCCAAAACTTTGTGTTACTCCTCCGTGTCATGCACGGACGGTCGTATTTTGTCTTGTGTCGTTCCATTCGAAGACGATATTTTTTCCTCTGTGTTTTATTTTTACAACTTTCTCGTTATATTTCTAACCTATTTATTGTTAGATTTCTTAATTAAACTCGATCTAGTTCGATTTATGCCTTTAACACTACACACACACAAATTGAAGCTATAAAAAATATAAATCCTCACGTTCTATTAGTTCTTAGGAGTAAAGAAACATTGTCCTACCTAAAGCACAGCATCTAATAACTTTGAGTGATGTCCAGGTTTTCGTATATAATATGACCCACCTTTTAAGTAGCAAACCACTTGAGGTTCCCATCAATTTGAGATAAACAATGCGTCAATTTGAGAAAGGAAGAGCATCTTCAAGATGCATAGAATCTTACTAAATCTTGAAGATGAATGCCATATGTTGAACCAGCAGAAGAGACCATGGTTTCCATGACAACATTGCAGAACAACAGCTCCTGTTTCACGTTGTGAGTCAGCAGAAACACAAATGATCTTTAGTATCACTCTCACTCTAAACTCCTCTCTATTAGAGAGATCAATAATAAAGTTCAAATCAGGAGAGCTGATAAGGTCTGGTGGTCTCATTGGCCATCTTTTCTTTCTGATGTATCTATCAACTTGATTTAATTCATTTTTATTCGAAGAACTTTTCTTTCTCTTAACATTCATTATTCCATCAGTG